CAATTCAATTCAATTCAATTCTTAATAGAGCTAGAAGGGACCACGGAGATATTCTAGTCCAACTACCTGCTCAAGCAGGAGACCCTATACCATTTCAGACAAGTGGCTATCCAGTCTCTTCTTAAAAATCTCCAGCGATGAAGCACCCACACCTTCTGGAGGCTGGTTAATTATTCTAACTGTTAGGAAGTTTCTCCTGAATGCCAGATTGCTTCTCTCCTTGATTAAATCTCCAATTTATTATATGAAGGACTTCCCCTGTCAGAAATTGGAGGTGTACAGTACTGCAGACTGATAAGGAAATGGGAAGAACAAGCTAAATAATATATTGTTTGGAGAGCTTCCTACAAAACCCAACCAATATGATCAGTGGAAGGAATGGTAGAAATAGAATCCAAAGTATATAGAAGTCACTAAATTGCCTAATTGATGGTTTTGGTTCTTTTTTTTATCTCTGTCTAGTATTTGGTGAAATAACAAAAGAAGGAAAATTTCAATTTTACACTTGCCTTATCTTCCCCAGTTGGCTGCTTTTCATTAAAGAAACACCAAGCAGTGGTTCTTTTTCCATATACATGTCTATTTTCACCTTTAAACTAGCATCCAGCACAAATTCATTTGTTACTAGGCCCTTTTAAAGTCAGTGAGTCTCCTCGGTAAATATTCATAGGAATCTGCTGAAAACTCAATTGAATGCAACAAAATTTACTTAGAAATCAATTAAGCTGTCCAAAAATTAATACATGGCTTTATTGTCATCATCATCTGTTTTTTTCTCTATAAAGAACACCTGGGTGAAATGATGCATGAAGCTGTATAAGCTATACATCTTTTCACAAAAGCGGTAATTAATTTTTGCATTCTGCTTTGCAATTAAAGTGGATTAAATTTATCTTCTTACACAAATATGCTTAACATAGGTCAAGTACGTTGTAGCTGTTACAGTTCAGTTTTTTTTTAAGTTACAATAAAGCTACTTGAATTCATATTTGTATTATTTCCTGTTCCAGGTTAGACATAATGTATGCAGAGAGAAAAGGAGTTTTCAAGAATCTTTACATAAAATTAAACAAATACAAGCAGCAGTAGGCAGTGGGTGTGCACAAGTGCACATATGATACAGAGAAAGCCCCCAATACCTGGAGAGCTTGCATGCAGTCCCTTTCAAGTGGCCAGAATCAAATGCAGTGGATGAAAGTATAATCAGGTTATACTGCTAAGGTCTAAGTGCCATAGATTGGCAGCTGGCCCTCAATCAGAACTGTAGAGTTTTGGGATACCAAAGGATTATACTTTCAAGTGCATAGAATCATGATATACGTGAGGCTTGTGGTGGCTCTTAATGTACACATAATCCTTAGTTATTGTAATCAGGGCTGGATTTTCCACTGCTAAGTGATGCATTCACTATCTCTCCAACAACAAGACAGGTTTAATTAATACATACAAATAAAATGTGACATCACATAACCACCCTACTCTGCAACAGAAATTCCAGACTTTCAGTTGCTTTTGTTTAGGTGAAATAGTCACAAGTTCTTAAGTGAGGATGTCACATAGACACCATTTGTGATCCCATACTGGCTTCCCATAAAGTTAATTTGTAGGAACCATCAAAGATCACAACTGGGGGATGCTGCAGTGCTGTAATTGCAAATGGGGTACTGGTGAACATTGAGGCTGATGTAAGTGTGAGGGATATAGCAATAGCACTTAGACTTACATACCACTTCACAGTGCTTTACAACCCTCCCTAAGCGGTTTACAGAGTCAGCCTATTGCCCCCAACAATCTGGATCCTCATTTCACCAACCTCAGAAGGGTGGAAAGATGAGTTAACCTTGAGCTGGTGAGATTCGAACTGCCAAATTGCAGGCAGCCAGCAGTTAGCAGAAGGAGTCTGCAATACTGCTTTCTAACCACTGAGCAACCACAGCTCTTAATAAATAGCAGTATAAGTAGCTATTGCTTGTTCAGCACCATTGGACGTTCAACAGGTTGCCAAATGAGTGATTGTTAAGTGAGGACCACATCTAGAAACAACTCAGTGAAGGCTAAGAATCCTCTTTCATCATTGTTCTCCTCATCGGAGCCCATGGCACATTCACACCTGGGTGGATACTCAGCTCCTGTTCTTCATCCTCTGATTGCAGGTGCGGCTGCTACTGATAGCTGCTAGTCATATCATACTCAGGTGCTTGAATGCTCATAACTTCCTTAGCTAAACCTGTCTGTCACTCCCAAAGCAGGCTCTTTGCTGTCAGAATTTTCTAAGTCAGGGCTGGCTTAATTCTTAAGTTAATAATACCACTTTACACTAGTTTGCTCATTCTGGGCGTGTTCATCAGCACACCCACAAAATATAAAGTAAATATATAAATGTAAAAATATAGTCTGTTTCAAAAAAATATGCTTGGAGTCCTTTAATTGATTCCCTTGAGAATGTTGTATGGTGTGGCACTTGAAAAAAACCAAAATGTAGAGTTGTCAATGAAAAATGATGGGTTATTTTTTTTTTGCCAAAGCCTATTCCTCTTACAGCAAAAAAAGTGCCACCTTATTTTTACATTGAAGAAAAGCATGATAGATAATGAGAAAACTAGATAGGTTGTTCCGGTGTCCAGAAAACTAGTTGACCAATTTACTTTGGATATTTTTTTAAAAAATACAATTTAGTTTGGATACTATTAGGCTTTATGCCTAGTGGAATTTTTTTGCTTTTTGATAATGTGAAATATAATCTTCCTAAAATAATGGATGAGTTGCATTTTATTCTAGTTTTGAGGTGAAAATACACATTCAGCACATAACTTTTCTTTTGCTATTCAAATCAACATATATGTTTGTCTAATTTGGATATATTGTGTTACTTTTTCCTTAGGCATTTGTAGAAGCCCAAAATAAAATAACTGTGCCCTTCCTTGAACAATGCAGTGTCCGGGGGCTATTTAAAGAGCGAATGACTGAACTATATGACTATCCCAAGTATAGTTGCCATTTCAAGAAAGGGAAAAGGTATGTCAAGACTTTGCCCATGTCAGCAGGCAATAGATTTGATTCATAGAAAGAATTGTTGCTGGTTATGCTGAGGATTGTGGTTGATGTGTCATATGTTCACTGAGTCTCAATATAGTAATAGTTATGTCTATGTGTTTGCCTTTATGATTATTTGCTGGGATAATGTTGGTATCTAGATTTGGCTTTACTTAAAATTAAGAACAGCATCACACATATCTTCTAGGTATTTTCACTTTTATAATTCTGGACTTCAAAACCAACGAGTGTTATATGTGCAAGATTCTTTGGATACTGATGGCAGAGTATTTCTTGATCCTAATAAGCTTTCAGATGATGGCACTGTGGCTTTACGAGGTCAGTATAACAGGTTTCCTCTGAGTTACAAATAAAGATTTCACAAATCACAACACATGCGTATGTGGACATTCTAAAAAATTTATCTTCTGTGCATCTAAAAAACATCCAGGTTTGAGATGTTTTATCTGCTGCTGATGTAGTAAAGAAATAGTGTGGCTTTTAACTATGATTGTTAAGAATTCTGAGACTTGTATTACCAACACATCTGCAGAGACACCAATTTCAAAAAATTGAAACAGAACAATGATCTAAAAGAAAATATCACTGATACGATTTGTAAATAACCTGCAGGTTTTGCATTCAGTGAAGATGGGGAATATTTTGCATATGGCTTGAGTTCCAGTGGATCAGACTGGGTAACGATTAAATTTATGAAGGTGGACAGTGCTGAAGAACTTCCAGATACATTGGAAATGGTAAAATTCAGTTGTATGGCTTGGACACATGATGGCAGAGGCATGTTCTACAATTCTTACCCCAAAAGCGACGGCAAAAGTGATGGTGAGTGGCACGCAATAAAGCTTAACTTATAGCATCTGGGTCCTTTATCTCAGGGGTCTCCAAACCTTGGGCCTGGACTGGTAGCAGTCTGTGGCCTGTTAGGAACCAGGCCGCACAGTGGAGGTGAGCGGTGGGCGAACGAATGAAGCTTCATATATACCTGCAGCCGCTTCCCAGTGCTAGCATCACTGCCTCAGCTCCACCTCAGATCACCAGGCATTAGATTCTCAGAGGAGCACAAATACTCTGTAAACTGCACATGTATGGATCTAGGTTGCACACTCGTCCTCCCTCTCACACACAGGGATCTCTGGAAAAATTGTCTTCCATGAAACCGGTTTGTGGGCCTCTGCTGTAACTAGTTCAAGACAGGTTTCTGAACTTCAAGGGTAACTCAGAGAGCCTGCTTGCTTGATGCCTCTCCCTCCCTCCCTGGGCTGCCTACCCTTCCAGTACTTTAGCTTCCTTGACTCATGGTTTTTCATTCTGCCTGACCATCTTTGCTAACACATCTTGATTTCCTGAAACCACTGAGGTTGTAAGTTACAGCCAAAATGATCTTTCACTTCCCTAACAAATAAATAAGTAAGTAAAAGAAATACGGCAGCTTACTTTTAAATAAAAGAAATAATTTAGAGATATTATACTTAAGTAGTGATGTAATTATCCCTGTAGACAAGAGAAAACCTTTTGGCAAGTAGGGCTGGTATTTCCAGCAATATGGTAAATAATATGAATTACATAATTTGCTACCTTTCAAGTTAAACAACTTTTACTCTGTAGGAGTTGCAAATTCTTACCATTGAAGTTTTTAAAGAAAAACTTGCATACATGTAATCAAATATGCTGTTTCCCCCAGGCACTGAAACATCAACCAATTTGCACCAGAAACTATACTATCATGTCCTGGGAACCGACCAGTCAAAAGATGTTTTATGTGCCGAATTTCCTCATGAGCCAAAATGGATGGGTGGAGTAGAGGTATGATGCAGTATTTGAACGATTCTCTTAGAATATTGGTAGACAATAAAATAAAATAAACTGTGTTTAGACACCCAGCTGTTGTTTGTCAAATACATTAGCTCTGTTTCTTGTTTCTTTTGTATTAGTCATAGATAGATAGATAGATAGATAGATAGATAGATAGATAGATAGATAGATAGATAGATAGATAGATATAGATATAGATATAGATATAGATATAGATATACTGGTCTTCTTGTATTCGGGTCCTTTCACATGTAAGATTGAGATTGTCTTGGCAACGAAGCCCAAAACACCAGCCTGAAGATAGTGAGTGAGACCTTGCCGAAACATTGCCAAGACAATCTCAATCTTACACGGGAAAAGACCCGAATAGAATTACCTTTTGGCTTCCTCCATATTTAATCTATATGTAAACTAATTTACAGAGTAATTATCACCCTAGCAAAATTGTACATGTTAACCTTTTATTTTTGCTATACACGAATTGCTATACAAGAATTCTTGGTGGCCTTAACTGACTCCTCAGGTGTTTAGTGCAATACTATAGAATAAATGAGCTGTTAGTTTCAAAAGATTAAAGTGATGGCGTGGCCAAAAAAAACCCTAAGGTGAATAGAATGAGAGGCACAGGATAGTAGGAGTTTTAAGTATCTTGCTGTAATATTCCAGGTTGCATGTTCATCAATAGACACATAGTTCTACACGCTCTTAGAAGTTCTTGACAGATTAAAAAATTCTTCTGAGTAATTCTGCCATGTTGAAATTTTGCTGTCAGATCTCTAGTTCAGTTATTCTGTGATTGACAAATGGACTATCCCAATTACGTGTAACTGTTAGCCTATGATCCTTGAAAATCTCTAAATCATAACCAAAATTATGTTTGTGGGACCATGCATAGGTTTATTGCTTTCAGAGCAATTTTGTTGGCTGAGAGATGCATACTTCCAAGTATAGTTTTAATATAGTTTTAAACATTTTAAAGTCAAATGTAAGTTATTAAATTCAGTGGGATTTGCTGTCTGAGAGAATGGGAATATCTTTAGTGTCTTCTCGTTAGGTCTTCAGCTCCCCAAAATATTATCAATTATAAAAAAAAATATTGAAGACTGATGTCTCATTTTGCTAAATATATTAAATTTGATGTAATAATAGGAGTTTGCACAGCAAAGGTATATATTTATGTGAAGGAATTAATAACTTTTGATTATATAGTTGCAGGTGGTTCCTACGCTTGCAGCCTTAGCTGTTAATTAAAGGCACTTGCTTTGGCGTTCTGTCAGACCTGATTATTTGTTCTCTTCCTGACACAATTTGACTACTAATATTGGAAGAAGAGTTGCTAACGCCACATAAGATGTGTGATGTTAAGTACACTCTTAGGATTTTTGAAAACCTTTGCTTACTGTGTACCAGATGAGGATAAACATTGAAATGGATGCCCATATTAATTGAAGTAAAAAAAAATTGCCCCAAGAGCTTCTATTTTATTTTGGTTAAGTTGAATAACTTACTAAATGTAAAAGGGGAAATAAACAAAACTATGGATAAATATTATGAATTTAATAAACTTTGGAACTAATTAAGAAAATGAATCACCTAAAATCCCTTTCAAAGCCAGCTTGATATAACTTTTAATGCATCCGGCCAGAAACCTGGAAACTGTAAATTTTAGTCCCATCTTTATCTAGTCATTTTGTCTTAGCCTTAGTGAGAGGGCAGTGGCAAACCACTTCTGAATAACCCTGCCAAGGCAATCTTGGAATCAGGCTCATGTGAAAAGAGGAGAAAAAAAATACATTGCATTTCAATTAATCGCTCCTTCCTTCCAATTTGTGCCTTTTTAGATTCCCATGAAATGTAATGTTTTCATATGTAAAATCAAAGTTTTAAAGCCATAGTCAGTTATGAACATCACTGAATGACCCTGTGACTGTCACTGACTTACATATCAGCCAGGGTTTTGGCTTAGCATGCGCCACAATGCTAACCATCATCTCTTAGTTTAGTCTAACTCGCCAGGATTGTTATAGGATAAAAGGAAATTACGGTTAGGAAATAGCCACATTCACTGTCTTGATTTCCTTGTCGGAAAGAATAAAAAAGCCCAACAATTTACCTTTTGTAATGCCTTTCTCTTTTTAAAAGTTTACAAATAAGGGCAAAGGTTCCTAAACAGCTATTGGCTCAGCAGCTGCCAACACCAGTCTTGTTTAGGTTCAGAAGTTAAGCAGAGTGGAGCCAGTCAGAACTTGATCTCTGTTCCTCAATAACTTTTCCTCATGTACAGGTGAAACTCAAAAAAATAGAATATCGTGCAAAAGTTCATTTATTTCAGCAATGCAACTTAAAAGGTGAAACTAACATATGAGATAGACTCATTACATGCAAAACAAGATACTTCAAGCCGTGATTTGTCATAATTGTGATGATTATGGCTTACAGGTCATGAAAACTCCAAATCCACAATCTCAAAAATTAGAATATTGTGAAAAGGTGCAATATTCTAGGTTCAAAGTGTCCCACTCTAAGCAGCTAATCAAGCCATAACACCTGCAAAGGGTTCCTGAGCCTTTAAATGGTCTCTCAGTCTGGTTCAGTAGGAATCACAATCATGGGAAAGACTGCTGACTGGACAGTTGTGTAGAAAACCATCATTGACACCTTCCATAAGGAGGGAAAGTCTCAAAAGGTAATTGCAAAAGAAGTTGGATGTTCCCAAAGTGCTGTATCAAAGCACATTAATAGAAAGTTATGTGGAAGGGAAAAGTGGAGAAGAAAAAAGGTGCACAACCAGCAGGAATGACCGCAGCCTGGAGAGGATTGTCAGGAAAAGGCCATTCAAAAGTGTTGGGGACTTTAACAAGGAGTGGACTGAGGCTGGAGTCAGTGCATCAAGAGCCACCACACACAGACGGATCCTGGACATGGGCTTCAAATGTCGTATTGCTCTTGTCAAGCCGCTCCTGAACAACAAACAATGTCAGAAGCGTCTCACCTGGGCTAAAGGAAAACAGACCTGGTCTGTTGCTCAGTGGTCCAAAGTCCTCTTTTCTGGTGAGAGCAACTTTTGTGTCTCATTTGGAAACCAAGGACCCAGAGTATGGAGGAAGAATGGAGAGGCACACACTGCAAGATGCTTCAAGTCCAGTGTGAAGTTTCCACAGTCTGTGTTGATTTGGGGAGCCATGTCATCTGCTGGTGTTGGTCCACTGTGCTTCATTAAGTCCAGGATCAACGCAGCCGTCTACCAGGAGTTTTTGGAGCACTTCATGCTTCCTTCCACAGATGAGCTTTATGGGGAGGCTGACTTCATTTTCCAGCAGGACTTGGCACCTGCCCACACTGCCAAAAGCACCAAAACCTGGTTCAATGACCGTAGGATTACTGTGTTGATTGGCCAGCAAACTCACCTGACCTGAACCCCATAGAGAATCTATGGGACATTGCCAAGAGAGAAAGATGAGAGACATGAGACTGAACAATGCAGAAGAGCTGAAGGCTGCTATTGAAGCATCCTGGTCTTCCATAACACCTCAGCAGTGCCAGAGGCTGATAGCTTCCATGCCACGCCGCATTGACGCAGTAATTGCTGCAAAAGGGGCCAAAACCATATGCATGCTTATACTTTTCAGGGGTCCGATATTGTTCTATGTACAATCCTTGTTTTATTGATTGCATGTAATATTCTAATTTTCTGAAATTGTGGATTTGGGGTTTTCATGAGCTGTAAGCCCTAATCGTCACAATTATGACAAATCACGGCTTGAACTATCTAGATAGACTCATTACATGCTTTGCATGTAATGAGTCTATCTCATATGTTAGTTTCACCTTTTAAGTTGCATTACTGAAATAAATGAACTTTTGCACAATATTCTAATTTTTCGAGTTTCACCTGTATATCAGTTCTAGCTAGAAACAAGTATATTTGCTTGGAAATAGAAATGACTTTGAGATACTTCCCAGAAGGTGGCGCTAGTAAATGGTATGAATCAAGTGAAGCAAAAAGCCATGGTGATTTTAAATGGACTTGTCTTATACTTGCTATTGTTGTGAAGATCAACTTATTGGACAAATATAATATATAAAATTGGAATGATTAGATTATTCTATAAATATTTCTTCCTCTAACCGGGTCCCTCTTCAAGTAACTCAAGAAAAGCATCCAATTTTCAATGAATGTGTTTTTCTTAAATGTTTTTTTTTTATTGTAAAAGCCTTATTTCTTTATCTAGAAGCATTTATCATAAAGGACAAAGGAATAGTTTGGGTGGATCTTTCTTTTCAATAAAGTAATCCAGATAGAGCTAATGTAATGAGATTATAAAGCACTTAAGAACAGTAGTGGTTGAAATCTCAAGGATGGATTGTACAGTAACAGGAGATGTGATGCATTAGATTTTCATTAATGTTTTGAATTCTGGAGAGTAAAAACAGGCAGACTGGTTATCTCCTCAGGCAATCTTCCAGAAGAGGAAATAGAACAGTTGTGCTGGAACGTAAAACCTCACACATGCCTTCTTGGACCAGTTGAATTGTAGCACTGTCAAGATAACAGGATGGATGAGAAGAAGGCATGGAAGCTAGACAGGGTAACAGCAGATAAAGGAAGTAATCCGGCTCAGTGGTCTAAAATCCTTGGAAGTGAACCAAGTATTGGGAAAATTAAGACTTGAGGAAAACAAGATATGGAACATGTATTCATTTATAATATTTATAGGCTAACCCTACTTCAATCTCTGGGTAGAGAATCTGAAACCAACATAATGTTACATTAAAAAAACTAAACAGCAGCTCAAAATCCTCATTCTGGGCTTAAGGTCCACTAAAGAAGAATGATCTTAAGCCCCTTCCAAAGTGCCAGAAGATCAGGTGGCATGTATATTTCTGAGGGGAAGATGTTTCATGGAACAATGACTATGACAAAAAAAAACAACCCCTGACTTCTGATCTACACCTTGGGCTGGAATCTTTAGCAAGCCCTCTTTAGATGATTGGGTAAATAGAATCATATTTAGTAGGACTCCACACACAAGGCTAGAGACTTACAAAAAATTTGTTTTGGATCTTATTGTAGAATAGGCTGAAAGAAAGAAAATGGGACAGTACTAAGCTGACTTTGGTTGATCTCAAAACAATGCTAAGCAGGATTAGCCGTAGTTAGGATTTTGATGTAAAATCAATAAAAAAAATCCCAGTGTCCTACTTTTCCCCTCAGTGTTTTTAATTTAAATGTAATTTAATTTAATTTTCTAGAATAGGCCGAGTTTTGAACAGAAGACCAGTTTGTAAACTTGAATGTGTCCTGGAAAGGGGAGGGGGCGGCATTTTAATGACAAGAACCTGCATATCAACAGAATAATTTTGCCCTTTGATTGTTCACGTTCATAAATTTAAACCCAGAGCTTTTTATGTACAGAACATTCAGTTGCTATCCTATCTTCCTGCAGTTCAGAATATATGTGGAGCTCTTCTTGGATGATGGGATATCTCGAGGTTCATTTTTGAGCCTGTACCTTATCATCACAGATTTTGTAAAACTATTTGCTAATTATCTTTGCTTCCTATTAGCACTGAGTGATGCTTAAAAGTTTGAAAACCCTTCTTTAATTCTGTATAAATATGATAGAAAGCATAATCTCTTCTCTCTCAAGTCCTAAAAGATACACTGGCCAGAGTCATTCTATGAGGCAGATGGACCACTTTTAAATATATGTTAAATAAATAAATAAATAGGACTAGATGCGTTACAAATATTACATAATAAATAAATAAAATCCATTAAACAAATGAGTTATAAATATTACATATATTTATTTATTTGCTGGGGGAAATGACTTAAATTCAAAAGGGTTCACAAACCTTGAAGCAACACTAGAGGTACATTGATGACAATAAAAAGGAACTTCATTAAAAATGTATCTAGTTATGAATTTTATAACTTTGGCAGAATATATGTACCAAGTTAGAAATAGGGAGCCTTTTATTTTCCATTTAAAATTTGGCTCTGAAGACTGAAGGTCCCGATTATGTCCTGACTAAATAATGTCCTGATGTTACTGATGATTTCTTCCCATTTTTATTTTAACTCTTTTTTCTTTAATAAAGAAAAAGAAAAAAAAACAGTGCAGCTGGAAATTGATACAGGTAGTTCTTGACTTATGACCACAATTCACTAAATTTGTATTGCTAAGCGAGACAGTTGAGTTTTGCCCCATTTTACAATCTGTCTTGCCACAATTCTTAAGCAAATCACTGCAACTGTTAAGTTAGAAATAGAGTTGTAATGTGAATCTGGCTTTCTCATTGGCCTTGCTTGTCAGAAGGTTGCAAAAGGTGATCACATGATCCCAGGATGCTACAATTGTCATAGATATGACCCCAGTTGCCAAGCATCTGAATGGCCCATGTGACCAAGGGAAAGTTGCAATAGTCATATGTGTGAAAAATGGTTATAACTCATTTTTTTCAGTGGCTTTGTAACTTTGAATTGTGTCTAAATGAAAGGTTATAAGACAAGGATTACCTGTAATGTGCAGGCAATGCATCCTTGGGATGACCTCAAAAATTCATCCCATAAGTGAAAGTTTTCCCAACCCTATAGTCAGGGAATGCAAGAATGTGGAACAAATGCCATTGCTTCTCACTATTCAAACAAGTGAGGTGGAGGAGAGTGTCTGCTAAAGCAGAAGTCCCCAACCTTTTGGACCTCAGGGACCACTAAATTTATAATTTAAAATCCCATGGACCACTAATATGATCTCCCTAATGACTGGCTGGGTGGGTGTGGCTAGGTGGTCATGTGACTGGATGAGTGTACCCAACTTGATGTCACTCACCAGCATTTACTCACCCCTCCCCTCCCAGCCACTCCTCGCCTGCCCGTTAGGGCTTTTTAGAGTCCCAATAGGAAGCAGTTGTTGGAGCTAAGCAGCCACCACGAGAAAGAGTTGGCAAAATAGCTGGCTCAGTTCAAATTCGGTCTGATTGAGAAGGAGGGTCAGCAGAAGCACCTCACTGAGGACTACGAGCGTAGGCTTTTCAAGCAGAAGGAAGACCTGTGTGAGTACAAGGCCAAGTACCTGAATCTGGAGGCTCAGAGGGCTGAGATCGTCAGCCAGTTCCAGGCTAGGATACAGTCCAACTGGAACAAGACCTTCCATCTCTTTGCCATCAGCGGCACTTCCCTCCAGTCTTCGCCCAAAGCCCGCACCAGGAGGCTGAAGCAGACCCCCAAGTCGGAATTTCTGCCCCCCTTCAACCCAGACAAAAAGACCCCAAAGGGAGAGACTCTCTGCAGCAACATAAGCATTAATTGCATGTATCCAGCCCAGGGGCCATAGTTTGAGGACCTCTGATTTAGTGCAACATAAAAAATGCAAATAATTTTTCTACGGACCACCAAAATTTTCAACTGGTTGGCGACCACTGTGCTAAAGCATATATGCATATTGTCCAATAATGCCTATTTGTTAATCTCACATAAAAATATCTGCAGAGGGGTTTTTCCACATAGAGTAAACAATGTTTTCTCTTGATACTCTTAAATTCTTTCTTGCTTTCAAATGAATTGAAAAGATGTTGTAGCGATAAAGAGAGACTTAATTGTCATTCCGCCTGTATTATACATTGTAGAATTACATTAAGAGGGTGTTTTGGGAATCCCACTAAGCAAAAGTATTATCAACTCTTCCCCAGTCTGGCAGGGAACAATGAAGAATACGCTACAGGGATTCTTGAACAAAAGTGAAATGTTTTCAAAGACCAATTTTCCTTTGATACTGAAGGCATTGTGAGCTTAGAATTAATATTCCGTATGAATTGTACATTGGGGATATTAGAAGCTTTCAGCACTTTTAAAACTACTTGCAGAAGGTTTCACGTTCAGATAAGAAATTCTGGAGAGCCCAAGGCCACATAGGGACCAGGATGACATACTGTATTACACATGATTAATTTGCTGAAGAAATTACAATTGAGCACAGCAACACAAATTCAGATAAACCACATTATGGCTTAATGTCACATGTGGACCCAGCCAGTTGATTATGCTAGATTAGCTGAAATAATGGTCTTAATATGTTTCTTCTAGCTCTCAGTAGAATTTATTTGCTACTTCAAGTCATGTTTTATTCAGAGAGATAGAGTCTTTTGTGGCACTGACTTCTGCAAATTAAATTGCATGTTGCCAGTTCTAATATCCATTCCCATCACAAGTGACATTTGCTTGTCCCAGGGCTTCCGTAAATGTTGCAACCATCTGACACAGAATATTATCAAAGTCAAGTATCGTGTGTTGACTTTTTCTAATGTCTGAAACAAGCTAGTGCTCCCAAACCTTTTTGTTTATTACTATTATTATTATTTGCTGGTGGTATTATTTTCCTCTTATTGACATTGCTTTAATTTTGGTGATGCTTAGGTATCTGATGATGGGCAGTATGCTTTGCTTTCTATACGGGAGGGATGTGATCCAGTGAACAGATTGTGGTACTGTAAACTACAGAAGGAATCAAGTAATATAACAGGTAAAGATCACTCCTTTTCAGATTTGCCAAACCTTTGCTTAGTTGCTTGCTTGATTTCAATGCTTGAATCCGTACAAATGTAACTGATATGTAGCAACCATTTACTATATTGCAATCAGCATTCAAGACATATCAATAACTGGAAAAATCAATAACATAATTATATCTTCATCCTTGATGTAGTAGAAATTGGAAGTAATAGACAAAGATAATTTGCTGTAACTCACACATAATGCCAATGTTATGTGCTCTATGCAAAAGATCCCATTCACGTTGAACGGACATTCAGATCTAACCTCTTCCTCCCATCAGTCTATTAAATTGGATTTCCTGTGCAGGTAAACCCACAACTTACACACCTAACTGAGCCCCAAATTTATGGTTGCTAAGTGAGAAATTTGTTAAGTGAGTGTTCCCCCATTTTACAACTTTTCTTGCCACTTTTCTTAAGTGAACCACTGCCGTTCTTAAATTTGTAACCTGATTGCTAAGTGAATCTTGTTTCCCCATTGACTTTGTCAGAAGGTCACAAAAGGGGACTCGGGGACACTGCAATGGTCATAAATGTGAGCCAGTTGTCAAGCATTCCTAATGTAAATCACGTGGCCGTGGGGCTGCTGCAACGGTCATAAGTGTGAAAAATGGTCATAAGTCACTTTTTTCTGTGCCATCGTAACTTTGAACAGTCACTGAATGAACTGTTGTAATTCGAATACTGCCTGTATAGCCTTTTTTATCCTCAAAAATTAAGAAACGGTATATATATATCTTTTTAAAAAAATCAGTATTAAGCTATGTTCTTGAAAATGGGCTACCAGTCGAGACTTTC